GTGTACCATAGACTGTGGAGCATGATTTTGTGGTGATGGGAAGTGCACCATAGACTGTGGAGCATGATTTTGTGGTGATGGGACGTGTGCTATAGACTGTGGAGCATGGTTTTGTGGTTATGGGATGTGCGCCATAGACTGTGGAGCATGATTTGGTGGTGATGGGTCGTGCACCATAGACTGTGGAGCATGATTTTGTGGTGATGGGATGTGTACCATAGACTGTGGAGCATGATTTTGTGGTGATGGGACGTGTACCATAGATTGTGGTAGATTCGAGTCTAATTTGGAGTCTGGCACATTAACCAATACACAACACCCAGCTCAAACGAGGAAGAAAATGAGACCCATAGGTGTTTGTGGTTGGGTTCACCAATAGTAAAGAGCCGTGCTCTGATTGCAAAGTTATTGGATCTACAGCCCTAAGGCTATTATGTGTAAAATGAAGACCAATCAGTAATACTTTAAACATTTAAATTTATGTTAGTTCTGGCATTTAATGTAATTCTTTAACCTTGAAAGTTGTGATAGTATCGAATATCTGATACATATGATTTTAGGTTCTTCTAGAAACAAAGTGTGTAATGATGTTCTATTCCATTTGAAGATTTACCCAAATAGTATCATGCCTGTAGATTTGATTAACCTTGTTTCATTGTAAAGATTACTGAGCTAGTGTCAAAGTACAAAACATGGCCTTTTAACAATTCAGCAATTTGACATTATATTAATACCATGTATTAATGTGTGAATAAGGGAGGGCACCATTATTTAAAAAAAAAAAAGAAATACATATGTACACTTACAACCCCCCAAAAAAACAAAAACATAAAACTATTAGCCACCTGTCTTCTGTATACACTTATGAGTGTGGAAGACAGAGGATAAATTAAAACCCAATGAAAGATACACAAAATAAATAAAATATGCATTCACCGAAGAAAGTGTTCGAAGCTTCATTCTGCTTACCTTAATCCTGCCAACAGAGCTTCCAGTATTTCCGTCGTCTTTTAGTTTGAAGCCTTGGATGGTTTGAGATCTGCTAAGTTCCTCTCTAGGTTTTCACTTAGTTTTGGTTTAGTTTATTTTGAATTTCGCGCAAAGCTACACGAGGGCTATCTGCACTAGATGTCCCTAAGCTAGCAATAAAGCATTATGAAGTAAGGAAGTGTTGCTGGGAAATGCAAAGTATAATATTACTACATTACATAAAGGTCACAACTATATATATATGTATATATAGCAAATGTGTCATCTGTGTATCCCTTTTCATGCCTATGGTTTTTGATTGATCTGTACCAAACTTAAAAGGCTCCTTTACAGCACCTCAAGTTATTTGGCATTCGGATCTGACCCTCATATGTCACTTCTCAAGGGTCCTTGTGTGTCTGTGTCCACTTTTTATACCTACAGTTTTCATCTGTCTTATTCAAGTTTGGAATACATCCTTACACTTCACAGGATCATCCTTGTGCATTGTTCAATGTATGAGTGCGTTAGCTAGTATTGACACAAACGTTAAAGTGTATGAAACTTAAATGCACTTATATGTACGTGAAATATATAAATAAATACATAATTATATATATACATATGTTTACAGTGTATGCATATCTCTTTATATATATACATATATATATATATAGGAGGAACGAAAAATAATTTAGGTTAAATATTACTGACAAAAGATGTATCTATTAGAACAGTTAATGTTTTGATGCGCAGAAATACCATATGTTTTCTACCTGCTAGGAATTTTTAACAGTTTTCGCTTAGTTTGTTTCGATACAGTTTGAGCATAAATACATATTTATGTATGCACACTGTTTTTAAATAAAGATTTTTTTTCACGTTTCTTCAAACGTGTTTAGTCTGTTTATTTCTCACACAACTTAAAACTATGTCAAATTTTCAAATCCAAATTAATCTAAAATTTCCTGTTCCATCCTGCTATTATTAAGTAAAAACGTATCTTGCGAGTAAATCAGATCGTTGAGAATACCACAAGTAGATAGAAAGGATGAATTTCGGTAACATGACTACAGGATTTAGTGAAGAGTTCCATGTTTTGTTAACGAATATACTGATCCTTGATTGAAATGAGTTTAAAGGAATACTTTTACTGTGAAAATGGTTTATTCTGGACATAAAAGCTCTTATAACCAAAAGGGGGAGTTGGTGAACGAACAGAGACAGTTCTATGAGAAAGATGGCGAGTCTAGAAGTTTTCTCTTGAACATAGGAACTTGTGTCCATACTGCAAATGTCCCCGACATAGATCAACTTTTAGCCACAGACCTAGGAAGATCTGTAGATGTCTGGGGTATCCATACTAGTGGTTGAAAACTTGTTCCTGAGGATTGATCTCAGTGCAAAAAAGCAAGAATGACTGAAAAAAAGCTAGAATTTCACAACTCCATTTCTGGCCCAGACCACCAATGACCAATAATGGACTGGACATGCTACTGCTGGACAACCTTCATCAGCCAGAGCCGCTTCCCCAATAAAAGAGATAGTGGTCATCCACAGGTAAGGACCATGAACCATGGCATGGTGAGACTCTTTGAGCCAA